TCATTCATTCATTCATTCATTCATTCATTCATTCATTCATTCATTGAAGTAAGGAAGTAAGGAAGGACTTTTATACTGAAAGTTTCTATACCGGAAATAGTCTGTAGAGCAAGCCAAGCACTGAATGAGCACAAAAACGACGCCGCTGCGTAGTCGACTCTCAAATACCATTTTCTTTAGTTTTGTTCACTGCTAAAAAAAAAAAAAACCCAAATGTTTTTTGTAATTCCGGTGTCTTTTAGCATCTAGCGTTAGTTGTTCGTCTGATTAGTTTAAATCTCATTTCGGTGCTTCCTGTGGGTGCTGACGGGGAAGATGGTTTTGTCAACATCACAACAAGTCGCCTTGGCTTTCACAGCCGTGCTCTTCACCTTTGTCGTCCTGCCGAGATTATTCGGTGCCGGTGGAGGGACGTCTGGCAAAGACGCTAAATTCGACCCTCGTTACAACAAAAAAGGTAAGAAACGTGTCTCATCCTGCACGTGTTTTTGTGGCTTATACAAAAATAAGTAATAAGTAGCAAGCCATGCAGAACAAATACAGGTGTTTTTTTTTTTTTCAGATAGTCATCCTATGTGTTGAGGGTGACTCAGCTACTACTATTACTACCACCGAATTTTAGCTCAACATCTATGAAATTAAAACCATTAATCGGCAAAGGTCTGACTGGCGGCCATATTGAATCAGCTTTGAATGAGTTCATGAGTCCTATGATTAGCTCCTTTCTGAAAGTTGACAGTAAAATTCATCCAGTGCATTAATAAGGTGTTTTACTGACAGACAGGAACAGTTGGTTACAATAATTAATGGCAAAGTTTTAAAAATGGATCCATAYCATCATCATACAAGAAAATATTCACTACTACACGTGCAGTGTGTTTAGTACTTCATATGCATATTGGAATTAATTCTGGGGTTATATTTCTAAATATTCATTATTTTATTCTACAGGTGACATTTATTATTGAGTTTTGGACCATTTTTTAAAATCTAAACTATAACTTTAAAATCTGTCTGCATAGTTAGCATCGCCACATCTCTTTTAATTCAGATTCCGTATAGGGTTGGGCATAATCGTATCGTGTGCAATTAATCGTCATAAAAACATTAATCGATTAATTTTTTGGCACTTGACAATTAATACGATTAATGCCACCAGGCGGACTCGCTTGGTGCTCTTCTCTGCTTCAGATATGATGAAAATTTTAAAAAAAGTTCTCTAATTTATTTATCTATCAACATAATTTAGAATTTGATGTATAGCCTGAAGTCTGTAATTTTTACACAATTTGGAAAAGATTTTTTACGAGGAGCAAATCTTTCCCACTAAATTGGTCATGTGACTAGTACGGGTGTCCAGGGACTCCAGGGCATTAATCGTCAAATTAATCYTTATCGGCTTAGTACCACAATTAATCGTGATTAATTTTTTTTGCCAATATTGCCCAACCACATGGTTGGTCATAAATTCTCTTGAAATACTCTATTAACATATTTATGTGACATGTTGCCTGAATGGTKGTAGCCCTTAGTCTCTCTCAGATTCTCTTTACTTCAAATGGTAGCCACGTGTATCAAACATTTTAGGCTCTTTCAGAAGCCAGTATTGTTCTCCTCCTCCTCATCATCTTAATAGATGCACAGTTATTTAAGGCTCAAGGACACACATAGAGCAGTGGTTCCCAGACTTGTGTACACCCTGAGCCATTTTGTCATACCACTGGTACCCCATCAGTCAAACGTAATGATGATTCTCCAAAACTAATGTACTACAACTAGGGCTGTGTATTGGCAAGAATTTGGCGATACGATACATATCATGACAGAGGGGTCACGATACGATATATCCCGATATATTGCAATTTTTTTGTCCAAAAATTCTATTAAATAAAAACCTCTTACAGGTGAAAAAAATGAAAAACCAAAATTCATTGTCTCAGAAAATTCTAATATTACATAGACATGCTTTTGATACATTTAGCTGTGTTCTGCTTTGTATGTATTTTATTTTATTTGTTTCATATTTCTTAGTTATCCGTGTTTTCAATTATTAGACTAAATTTGACAATAAATAGTTTGAAAATATATTTTTTGCAGCTTTTAGTTTTTAATATTAATTTACAATATGGTCACCCAACACTTAACAATAGCAGCCAAATGGCTGGCTCACTGCTGCCAACTAGTGGTCAGAGGCTGAACTACAACATAAAAARGAACGGCTGGCAGGAAAGTTGACATATTAAATCTTAATAAAAAAATCGATACAGGGCTTTAGAATATCGATACAGTATCGGGAAATGAAATATCTCGAAATTTCTGTGTATCGATATTTTCTTACACCCCTAAATACAACTGATTATTAAATGGAAGTTATTTAGTTAGCCCCCTAGAATGTTTAATTTTCAAGCATTTTATTTGCCTTGAAAGTGAATAAGTAAATAAATAAATAAATAAACCAGGTAATGACAGGTGCAGAAAACAGCAGCGTCCAAAACACACCAGAAACTCTCCAAAATCAGCAAATTCCATGAGATTCCACGTTTTATACCGAGTACTATTTTGTGTTAATTCCGTGATTCCGTCCGCAATTTCCACATCGCGGAAATCAGGGAACTACATATCTCAGTCATTTATTTTTTTACACACCTGGGAAATTTTTTCACGTACCCCCTGTAATATGAAGGGGTATACATACCCCTGGTTGGGAATCATTGACCTAGAGGTTACCCAAGCATCAAGAATGCAGGTTAAAGTTTTTCACTTTAATGGGAGTATTCTGTGAACATGTCCTTAGTAAAAGTACACAGTAGAGTTGGGCAATATTGGCAAAAAAAATTAATCATGATTAATTGTGTTATTTAGTTGATAATGATTAATTTGACGATTAATCCCTGGACACCCTTATGTCCTAATCACATGACTAATTTAGTGGGAAAGATTTGCTCTTCGTAAAAATTTGTTCCAAATCCTGTCAAAATTATATATATATTTATATACAGTATATATTAGAGCTGGGCGGTATGACCCAAATTTTATATCAAGGTATTTTCAACAATTACACCGGTTTTACAGTATTTTTTTTTCCTCACGGCTCAGCTGATAATAAAATGTAGGCCTACAAACTTTGCTTATTGACTTTTTTTTCTTTTACTGTACCTCTGTATCACTGTTTCCCTCCTATTGTACGTCTTTTCTTCTCTGCCTGGTTGTAGACAGTAATCATGCATTTAGGTCCGATCGTGAATGGTTGAGAAAAAAAATCATTATCTGGTCTATCGTTATGTGTTAATAAAACTTAAAAGGACGACTCACCTTGTAACAGTACCGGTTAATTTGCTGTTTTATTGTTATTAATTTGATTAATTTTAAGTTGGGCGCCAGCCAGGTATCCCTCCTGACAAATAGGATATTTTGGACCCGACTGAGCTTTAACTGTTTTATATTTATATATGGTTTAGAATTAGTTAAATTTTACCGTGCACCAGGACATGTAAAATATAAAGAAATTACAAATACACACCCTGTTAACTCTAACTAAATACTAAGTGACAAAATAATGTTTAACAAAAGGAAATGAGCACAGACAAAACTGAAAATAGTTTTCTCGAATATGTTATTCACAACAAATCAAAATAAAACACAAAAGTAGTAAATATACACCAGGCTGATTGGTATTTATATTTATGATGGCAAATAGTGGCAAATTAAAATTGATCATTTGATTATCTTTCTCTAGTTGTAGATACTCTGTACGTAAAGCAGAAAAATATTTTGAATTAATTTTTATCCACACCAAAGCACCCAGTACACAGTATTGTGTTTTCTAATGAAGCACTGAAGTTGTAAGACTTTAAGACCTTCATATACGTGCATTCATGTTTTTACTGTACTAGGTATATGTACATTGTTATATATCACAAATATAGTGTTTTTTGTTTTTCTTTTACTTATCTTTCTTTATTCTATCTCACCCTGTCCTGTTTTGAGCTGCTGTTATGTGCAAATTTCCCCACTGTGGGATCAATGAAGTTGTATCTATCGTATCTAGGC